TGATTTTACCTCGAATGGAGTTTCATTTAATAAAGACAACTTTGCAATGTAACTCTTACTGAATTTGATTGGGTTGATTGATAAAAATTGTTTTTTCAAACGCATATATCGCTCGTTTCGTTCATTAAGTTGCGCTAAGCGTTGTTTACGCTTGAGTTTTTTTCCGTATTTTGAAGCTAAGCGGGCTCGAGCCTCAGCAAGCATCTCATATTGCTCGACATCCAAGACCGTAGCATCTGGTACAGCTGCATTGGTTTCTACGTTGTAATCATCAATTGTATTTATGAGTCGTTCTCTATCTTCCGCATTGTAACTTTGATTCAGTTCGATATAGTGAGTTAAGCATTCTTTTACTGTACGATCTAATAATGTTGCAATAGTGGTCCATTGAGAGTTGAACATTTCTTTTAACTGCAAAAGTTGATTAGATTCGTCTGGTGTCCAAGCCCTAAATTGTAGCTTGGGTAGTATATAATCGTTCCAACGTTGTTTGCACTGAATGGCAGATTTTTTTGCAAGCAAACTAGAAATCCTAGCCCAATTATTTATACCATATTTCATTACTGCTGCTTTTAGAACAGCATCTTCGCTGTTATGCCAGACATCTGGTCTAGGTTGGTAGTTCTGCATAAGCTAAACGCAAATTTATAATTTCATCACTAGGGCTGAAAGATTTACTTGCTAAAATGCTTCTTCAACTAATTTACCTACTATTCTCCTAGATACAGTGACTAATTTATTATATTTATCCGATTCGCTTGATAAATTATTTAATAATATTTTTTTAGAAATATGTCGACTAAGAACATTTTCCGAATCTGGGATATTACTATAAAATTTATCTACTTGTTTTGTTTCATTTTTGAATACACAATAAGCTTCATTCTTTTCAAATTGTCTACATAAATTCATCAATAGTTTTACTTACAATCCAAAACCGTCTAATCCCTCGCATGAATACTCTGGGTCTAGCATATAAATTTGTGCACATACTAGATTTTTTTTGTGGTAAGTTAATACGTATCCTTCATCACATGCTAATTGATTAGTGTAGTTTTTTAATACAAAACACGATTTCGTCTCTTCGTTATAAAAGTTGACATCTCTATTAATTACTTTGTAGTAACCATTGATTACAGCTTCATCTAAATGTCCTGAAATATTACAGTATTTCTCTTTTGGTAAATCAATTGATATTTTCATGCATTGTTTATATTGTTCAGACCATTTCCAACCACTTCTACAAGAAGCTTGGCTTAATATAGGATCAACTGTGACTCTAGTTTTACAATATGTTATATTATTCTTAGTCGTGAGCTCGTATGGAGCTTCACAAATGTTTTTAGAATTTATATTCAGCCCAGGCCCGTTGATTTTTTTGGCGTTTTTTCCAGATTCAATTATATCTCTTAAAAAATTTATATTATCATCATTTGTTTCAGCTTGTAGGTTACTGAAAGACTCAAAAAATGCTATCAAATTAAATGAAAACTCAGTTAAATAAGTATGATAAACAAAAGATAATGGAGAAAAAAATATATCTTCTTTTTGTTCGTCATTTTCAAAAGATTGAGCGTTAGAATCAGAAATTTGTCTGAATATATCCTTGAAACACATGTAACTGGGTGGAAAAAGATTAGTTCCGGTTCTGTCATGCTTAATATGCTCTGTATATCCTTTTGGGCATTCGAGATGAACTCTTGGCTCGTACATTCTAGCACTTATGCAAACACCGTCTGCGTTAGCTATAAAAGGGGGTAAATCAGTAATGCCGGTGTAATGTTTACATACCAATTGTTTTGCATCAATAGTTTCTAGATAATCTGAAAAACTATACTGTTGTTTATTAAGGTTTTTGTTTGAACGATTGATAAGAATCGTTAACGGTTTTTTTGTGTTCCTGTAATTGATGTAGATACATTTTTTTTTTTCTAGATCATAATAATAATTAGTACATTTCTTGTGAGAGTCTTTGCAAAGCGTGATTGCATTGAGAATTATACTTTGATCATTATGAATCGCGGCGTGTATATTTAAGATAAATAATAATCCACTAATTAATGAATATACGTTAGTCATAATATCATCACATAATAATTGTAGTCAAATGTGTAAAAATTTTTCTAAGTTCGCTGCTTGGCTAATTCAAAAAATTTTCTACCGGTAAGTTTGGTAGAATCAATAGTAGGATCTAACCAAACGCCTTTCTGGATCATTTCTTGCGCAAAATCTGAAGACCATTTTATAAATTCTTCCTCAGTAACTCTTTCTGATTCAGCTGGTAAATTAATCGTGTTTAGAATGCGGTAGTATTTCGTCTCGTTTGCATCAGAAAGTTCTTCTACATTTGATTCTTCGTCTACATAATTTTCGTTTAAAAAAATCTGAACGGCAATGTAAATGTCATATAAACATTCAAAACCTGTTAATTCTGAAACGACTTCATTAATAATAGCGTCAATCCTGTTTTTTTGCTCATTGCCAATCGATTGAGAAGCTAAACAAGTGACATTAGTTATTGAATGAGGATATTCATCTAAATTGGACACTTCAATAAATGCTTTGTGTTTGTTTGAGCCAGAAGAAGTGACTTTAAAGACAAGTTTGTCGTCGACTATTTTGTAGCTAAAAGAGTCGACTAACAAAGAGATAGCGTTCAATTCATCTTCCAAAATGGGATTCATAGGGCTGTTATAAACTAAATTTCGGATTTATACAGTATGTAATAAAGAATTCAGAATAATTTGGTCGGAATAGCTAAATCCGCGCACGCAACTGCCAATTGCTTTAATTAAAATATAATTTAAAATACTAATTTTTGCATTGACTGAAAAGCATATTGAAACTCATTAGTCCAAGCTTCTTCCAGAGCAATTCTCACAAATTCAAATAATGTACAAAGCAATGCTATTAAAAAATCGTCTATATTTTCGATAACCTGTACTATTACCCACAGGGTTTGACTATCAACCTCAAGGGCACGCTTAAATCCAAAAGGTGGAGATAGATTTATATTCATAATGGCTTTTTTATTTGCTTTCGCGTTGAAATTTTTTGCTAAGTTTTCTAATATGTTAAGAGCATAAGTTCTTTCTTTTGTTGTTGGAAAATACACCGTAGAAACCTAAAAAATATTTTTTTGGCTAACTTACCAAATCATAATATTTATGATATTGTTTGATGTATATTTGCTGCCGACTATTCAGAAATACTGGCGTTTTTATTGACTGATTGATGATATTTGTGTAAATCGCTTTGTAGTACAGGAATAGCAACGAACTGATTCGATTCTGCAATTCTTTATTGTTGAGTATTTCCTGTTTTGAATTTTCGTCGAAATAAAGCGCGCACCGGATATTTCTTGATATTTTTTTGTTGTAAAAACAATTTATTCTTTCACACGTGTTCAGCAATTTTTTCCATTTTTGACTAGTGTTTAAAACAATAAAATTCTTATACACTTTTTTTAATGTATGTGTGTATGTGTTACCTACGTCATATTTTGATCTAAGCAAAACAATTAATCCAAACAATTCAGTGTTTTTCAGAAATCTAATTTGTACGGTGAATGGGTTGTATATTACATCCAGCTGGGTATCTTTATATGATGGTAGGGAATATGTGAAAAAAGGAATCGATAACTTTCTATGGATGAATCAGTGTGAAAACCTACTCAAGAGCAAATTCTAATATTTTACTTAACAAATCTCTATGGTATATAAGATTTTTTAGCATTATCCTATAAGAGTTTTGGAAAATGAAATAAATAATCAATTTCAAACAAATTATTAATTTGAATTTTGTTCAATATAAATTGTAGCTTATAAGATTTTAATCTATAAAAAGTAATCTACTCCATAATTTATGAGCTATAAACTGATACAAACTGATGGACTTTCTTCTGTTTCTTCCATGGGATCGACGGAAAAATCTATTAATATATCAAAATTTCACCAAAAAAGCGATCTAGACGAAGTGTACAACGAAGTGGGTTCTGAGAGCAGTTTACATTACGTTCAGGAAAACGAAAAAAAAATTGAACCAATGTCAAACATTAACAGTGTTTCTGCTTTTAAAAACATAACAGATGGTAATAATATAAATCCGGCTTCGGTAAATTCTGGCCAGGATTATCGTCGCTTACTACAAAATGAAGTATCTTTTACCAAAAACGATTTGGGATTTTCATCACTTCAAGAAAATTTGGCGTATTCGAACCAAAACAGTGAAAACCGCAATAGCGTGCAACGGTCACCTGACATATATAACTCAGTTTTCAGCAATAAAAATCTCTCCTTCAGGTCGTTAGACAAAAATGTTGATTCGAATACAAATCCATCTAATAATCTGGCTAGCGATTCCGAACACGCTATGCAGAGTAGTGAAATAGGAATTAATTCTTACGAAGAGACCAATGACGAAGTGTTTGAGCTTATTGCCCAGTCTCTAACTGGTATGAACAAAGGGTTGGAAATGTTTAGTCAAGTATTGCCCAAAATATTAAAGCAGCAAGAAGAACTAAATACGCGTTTGAATGACATTCAAGAACAAGTTTCTGCTGCGACCAGTAAACTATACGATTTTGAAAAGCGGTGCTCGGAAGCTTTGGAAAACGTATACGATACAGTCAGAAAAATTTCTGCTTCTGGAAAAAAAGCTTACGTAGACAACTCGACATCCTCTACAACTCCAAACCCGGTTTATTACTTTGTCACAGAGAATTTTGTCAACGGATTAAACAAAAACACTGAGCCTTTCAGTCAAATAAGCCAATTGGAAAATAGATACAAAGCAAATAACAAGCGCAGTTAAATCGAAAAATTATTCAATATAATTTAAGTAAAATTTTAATTATAAGTTTCATTTATCATAGCTGCAGCTAATAGAAACACAAAAAAAAATAAAATTAAAAGAAGTTTTAAAAATATGAAATTAATAGACAGAACAGTTATTTTTTACTTAGACGAGTATATTAGTCAATCACCAAGTTCTAATCAAAAATGAGCAAATTGTCACAACAAGTGGTAGAAGAGGCCGTTAGAGCTGTTCTCAATCCGGAAAAGAAAAGAAATTTCCTTGAATCTATTGATTTACAAATAGTCATCAAGGATTACGACCTCAAACGAGACAAACGTTTCAACGGTACTATTCGCTTACCACATGTCATTAGTCCGAATCGAAAGGTCTGTGTTCTCGGGACAGACGTCCATTGCGAAGAAGCCAAGAACTGCGGTCTTACTTGTTTGAATGTCGCCGCGATGGAAGCAATCAACATGAACGCCAAAGTTGTTAAGAAGCTAGCCAAAAAGTATCACTATTTCATGTGTTCTTCTTCTTTAATCACCATGATTCCCAAGTACTTCGGACCCACTCTTAACAAGCTTGGAAAGTTCCCTGCTATTATCACTCCTAATGACAAGCTTGCTGACAAGTCCACCGACTTGAAAGCAACTGTGAAGTTTGTCTTCAAAAAAGACACGAGCTTGGGAGTTGCTATTGGCAACGTTAACATGACTGAACAAGAACTCACAGAAAACTTACATACAGCTATTAACTTTTTGGTGTCTCTCACCAAAAAAAACTGGCATAACATCAAAACTATGCATATCAGATCCGCTATGGGTAAACCCCGACAAATTTACCCTTAAAATATTTATTTTATTTTTAGCCTGCTACTTTTTAGTTGATTTTATAAATATATATTCTTTTTTTGCAGGGTATTAATGGAAAAACTGCGCATCAAAAAAGAAACCTCCAAGTTTCGCGCCTGCAAAGGCTGTGGTAGGCTTAAGTCTTTTGAAGAGTTTGTCGCAGACGGTTGTGAAAATTGTTTGGAACTGCAATTTGATGGAAACCCGGAAGAAGTCAATCTAAACACGACGCGAAACTATTCAGGTATGGTGGCTTTGTTTAAACCTGAAAAATCTCAAATCGCGAAATTGTTCGAAATCAAAACGCAAAAAAGCGGTCTCTACGCCGCTCTGCTGAAAGACTAAATTGACTTGTAACTTCTTTTTTCGTTATTCCAATATTATTTTTAGTCATATTTCATAAAACCGTATTTAATTCTTTTATATTTGAAATTTAAAATTATTTGTCGTGTGTATTCATAAGGTTAGTAATCAGTTTGAAAAAGAATGCAATGTACGCTTGATGAAAATAAAATACAAGATGTTTTGGGATCTCTAAATGAAATTTCTCGAAATCCTAATAACCCCGTTGCTCTGCATCAACTGGCCCAGTTGCAGTCTTCCAACGAAGGGCTCAATTACATTATACATATTTTCACGAATAAAAACGTAGATAACATTTCTATCAGACAAGTAACCGGAATTATCATCAAAAACGCGCTAGATTCTATTTTAGAACGACCCGATAAGGACGTTATTTTTAAATCTATTTTACTCAGTCTGTGCGACGAATCTAATTTGATTCGCGAAACGGCCGGCAATATTGTTGCCACCATAGTTTCTAAACTGGGCGTCGATCAATGCTCCGAACTTATCGAGGACTTGTTGTCTATACGACAAAAGACTGATCACCTGAACATTGCCATATCAGCGCTCAGGACTTTAAAAAAAATCGTTGAAGACATATTTGGAGATAGTTCCAACTCGCATTGCCAAAACTTTGTCTCAAACTATTCAGAAGTTTTTAGAACTTTTTCGCACAATAAGCTTTTACCTTACTTGTTCAACATTCTCAATCAAGATTTTGTGCCTGAAATATATGAACAGACACTCTCCATATTGAATATTTATAATTACCATATGGCTTTTGCAATTGACGACAATACTGATAGGTTCTTTAATCTTTATTTCCAGCTTTTAATCAAGTCTCTTCCGATTAACTTGCTTCCCATTAAATTACAAGTTACTCAAGGATTGCTCGACTTGCTTCAGTACTACTCAGAATTAGACAACATGCAAATGAATGCCATTGTTGAATACTTGATTAACTGTGCTATAGACAAGGATTACAATCTTCGGTTACGTAGCTTTTATATTTGGAAAGAAATTTCCAATTTGTACGGCTTCAAGCCGTTTTTATCGCAATATCTTGAAAAAATCCTCGGTGTGATTTACTGCAACCTGGGATTCACTGAAGCTGATTTTCTCGATATGAAATACCCTGTCAGTTCTATGTCGAACTACGCAGAAAGTACGACCATAGGAATATCTGTGAAGAACACCGCCGGCGGTTCTGAAAGCGCCGACTATAAATCTCCCTGGGGATACAATTACACAGTGAGAAAAGAATCGGCTGCTGTTTTAGAAACTTTAAGTGAATTATTTTCCGAGATGGTTGTGAAAATTCTCGTTCCCAATATTTACAACTTGATACTTAACAGTACCAACTGGCAAGAAACCGAAAAAGCAATTTTTGCCTTAGGAATCATTACCAACAACTACACAATGAAATTGGTGCCCCAACCATTTGAAATTATAAACTACCTAATTAAGTTACTTGACTCGCCCGTACATCTCGTTGGTTCTATGAGTTGCTGGACTTTAAGCCGGTTCACAGAGCTAATTTGTCATGAAGGTCCACCGGAACTTTCAGCGCAACTTCTCAATCTGTATTTGAGTAAAATCTTCGTCAGCCATCCGAACGTTACTGACGTAATTTTCTCTGCGCTTGACGAGCTTTTAAACATCGACCAGCAACTGTGCGTTTCGCACTTCGATCAATTAGTCTGTTTTTTAATTCAGGGAATCGAAAGTTTTCAATTCCGACTATTGATTCTAATGTCCATGTTCGGAAATGTTTTTCTTATGATTTTAGGAGACATATCTTACAATCCAGACTTTTGCAACAAGTTGCAACGTGTGGCTGAATGTGTTGCAAAAAAATTAAATGACCGTAGATTGACCTCAATCGAACTGCAATTATTATTTGAACTAGCCGCAAATCTAGTTATATCTCTCAATAATAGATCTTTTGATTTTGTTAAAATGTCTTCCGGTGTAGTTTCAGAAAAGTTAACTAGAGAAATGCATGAATTTGCTGAACACCTTCAGTTCAAGTCCAACGTGTCGCTTGATATCTATAACACCGACCTATTAGAATCTATTGTTGTTTATTTATCTAAACTATCAAATATTTTCAAAGCAGGTATCAGCGAATTCTTAGTCATTTGCAAACTACCCAATGTTTTAAGTTTTATCTACAACGAATTGAATCAAGACCACTACTCTTATTTGCAATCTTTTTTTTTACGCATCATAGTTCCATTTTTTGAATATAATATCGAAGTGTTAGAACCACAGTTACTCCCTATTTTGAAATCGATAACGAGTTATCTCTATATCTTTAATTCAGAAACAGTTTCGGATGTAGCGTATTTGCTCTCCTTTGTAGTGATCTCCCGTTATAATAGCTACTTCAACAATTACATTGACGATATTCTCAAACAACTAAAATTCATTATGAACAACGTTAAATATGCAAGCTACTGCAAAGACAGTGTTATTTGCCTGCTCGGATGTTTTTCATATGTTTTTCCGCATCAGTCTTTAATGTATATTATCCAATTTGATGACATTATTGCTAATCATCTCCCTGAGCATATTAGAGGCATTCCAGATCTGTTTGCAGTAAGTGGATTTTTCAAAGCAGCTACTGAAAGACCTCGAGAACTTTCTAAGCTTTTGAACGCAATCAAAAAAAACGCCGTCGGCTTGTCCGCAATCAATCAACAAAATATGTTTCCACCGAACGTTGTTCACGCTTTGCATAACGGTCTAGCTCAGTTCATACAAAGTAAATAAAGTGAAATTTTCAAAATGCGTAATTAAAATAAATACAAAAGTCTAGTGATATTATCGGGTACAATGATATCGCCCGCCTAAATACAAAAAATTTTTATTTGTATTTAATTCTAAATTTGTGTAAATTGATAATTTTTATAATACAAATGCAAATCACTTGTAAAGATCGTTCCACTAAAAAAGAAAAAGTAATTGAATTGGCTGACAATGCTTGTTTGTTAGACTTGAAATTAGCGTATGAACACTTGAGTAAGTCCCTGATTTAACTTAACTGTAGCGGGTTTACCTATTCAAAGACAACGTTGGACCTTTAAAAACGGAAAAACTCTGGTCGACAATGAACTCCAATCGCAAAATGTCACTGATAACACGTGCCTTTTAATCAAAGATCTAGGTATGCAGGTCAGTTGGAGACTTGTATTCATCATCGAATATCTAGGACCTATATTGATTTTCCCTTTTGCAAGACTCATTAACATCAACAGACCGTTAACCTTCATCCAGAAACTGGGTTATCTTTGCATTATGATTCATTTCATCAAGCGTGAATTTGAATCTGTTTTCGTTCATCGTTTTAGCAAAAGTAGCATGCCCTTCAAAAGACTTCCTATTAACTGTTTCCACTATTGGATTCTTTGTGGAGTAATGATTTCGTACCAGCTGTTCAGCAAAAACTATACTTGCTATTTGGAAAATCACAAATATATCGCGGTAATTCTGTTCATTGCTTTTCTGAGCACGGAAATCATGAACTTTTTAACTCATCTCGTGCTCAAAAAACTCAGAAAACCTGAATCTACGACGCGAGGCATACCTTACAAATTCGGTTTTGACTACGTCAGTTGTGCGAATTATTTTTGGGAAGCCTTGAGCTGGATTATTTTTTCTTTGATCATCAATACTACAAACGCCTGGCTTTTCACAATTATCAGCGTTGTCCAAATGTACATTTGGGCTAAAAAAAAACATTGCTTATACAAAAAAGAGTTCGCTAATTACCCTCCGTAAGTTATTTAAGAAGTTTTATTTTTTTCAGAAATCGAAAATGCATGATTCCCTATTTACTCTAAAATTCTCATCATGATTTTCTATTATTTGCTAATTAAATTTATTTTCCTCATTATTTGTGAATCAATAATATACATATATATAAATATATGTTCATTCGCTTCTAAGCCTCAAATACGCCAATGAGTGATATTAGTTTTTGTCATTTATGGTACGTTTCACACTCTTAAAACTTTTAGTGGCAACTGCTTGCACAGCGTTGAAGACCCTAACACTAATAGTTTAGTTCTTCGTTGTCTTGTGTGCAGAAAACTATTCCCCCCCGACGAGCTGAATAAGACAACTAGCGTTGTAAGAACAATTTATTTTCAAAATCGAAGCAGGTAGGTTTTTTATTCGTTGAATTTTTTTAGAGAAGACTACAAGAGCTTTGTGTACAAAGGATGGACCTATGACAAATCTCTGCCAAGAGACCCCAACTATGTTTGCGAATCTTGCGGTGAAAAAGGAGCTATTTACTCGTTGCTCCCAGAAAAATGCTCTTTAGACTCGATCAAAATCGCTTATGTCTGCATTAACTGCGAAGCGTTTTCAATTAACTAAATTGCTGCTTTATACTAATAAAAAATTAAATATGTTATGTATTTAAACTACAAGTTTTTATGGAGATTTTTTTAACGTAGGCACTGGTTGAGGCATAGCATACGGAACTCGTATCACCGGTGCCGGTGGGACTGGTGCTTGCTGCGGTAAAATTATCGCTGGCTGAGGTATAACAACTGGCTGCTGAACTATTGTTAGCTGCGGTTGAGGTATTACCGGTGTTTCGATCACATTCACACCCTTGTTCTCGGGAGCTGCACTCGCTGGAGGATCTATGTGCAAATCTTTTACACGTTCTACTGGTGCTTCTGCCGGAGTTACTTCTGACCTTACTTTATCAAAGTCAAAGTACGTGTGAAGTCTATAACACACTTTTACTTTATGGTCATACTCAAATCCGTCTCTGCACTTCATGATAGGTTCTAAGCGTGTTTCTTTAATGCAAGTGTTGCTCGAAGATGATAAATAGAAATCTTCAGGGCAAACGTAAACTGCTTGTTCTCGTAACTCCATAACACAAGTGTTGAATAATAAAGTAAACCCACGAGGACATGCTTTAATATGTTCTGTCGTGTTGTATTGTACACATTTTTGATCGAATTCAGTAAATCCTGCTGGACATATGAAGCGAGGAGCTTCCAAAATCGCAGACAAACACTTATAGCCACGATTTGTCATTTCTAAAGAAGTGCCAGGGACTATGCATTTCAGATCTGGAGACGAGTATTCGTCGATAATACACGTCACTGGTTGTCCCACAATGTTTGTTAATATTTTCGAATTCAACGGGCAAAAAATGTTCGCATCCATTTTTTCTATTTTTTTGCATAAGTTGTCTAACCCTAAGTTGAAGCCTTCCGGACACAACAACTTAGAAGGCTCTTCAATGATTTTTTGGCATTTATTTTGTCTATTTAATACATATCCTGGCGCGCAGCTATGCGTCATTGCTATTGATTCAGTCATTGAGCAACTTGATTCTATGAGTTCAAATCCCATTGGGCACGAAATTAAAGGCTCGAAAAACTCACGCATTACACAATCCATAGTTATAAATTCGCTGTTAGGTGGACAAGTAATCAAAGCTTTAATTGTTGGAGTATGATTCATTTTTCTTATTTTGTGGTTATGTTTACCATTGTTTTGCAGTACGGGAGCGCAATTCAAGCTTACTTCGTCAAAAAGAGTATTAGTTGGACATACTACTTCTGGTGGACCAGCACTTACAAGTTTTTCACAAAGTCCTTCTGGATTCAATAATCCTATTTCACAAGATCTAATTGGCATTGTTTTAACAGTTTTTTGACAATAATTACCGAATCTTTGATAGTTAGGCGGGCAAGTAGTTTCAGAAGAAGTTTCTTGTATTGAAGTACATGTCATTTCCGTTGGATTGAGATTGCCTCTCGAGCAAACCTGCTCCGGTGTTTGTACCGAATGTCTAAAGCAAAAATTGTTAGCTTCATTCAGTAAAAAACCGTCTGGACAGTGTGAGGAAGGCTTAAGTTTAGTTGTATGCCTACATTGTTTGTCTTCTAAAACACCGTCATGGCAAATTTCAACAGGTTCGCTTTCAATGTATTTTTTACATCCTTCTATAGATATGTCAAACCCGTCAGGACAAATCATTTGTTTAGGCGTGTATGTAATGCTCGTACATGTTCCATTAGTAGCTTCTTTAAAATCTTCTGGACAGACGTACTCAATACTGGAGGTTTCATGAGCTATACAAATAGAACCGTCCATGACCCACCCTTCTTTGCAACCAAGCACCGCGAGTTCCGTGTTTCTTTCGACACATGTGTTGTTGATCAACTTAAAATTATCTGTCGGACATTCCCATATAACAGGTTCTTTTTCAATAAAATCTTTGGAAACATATTGAATTTTATCTGTATCATTTGTTTTTAATGGTTCAGACGGATCGTCGGGGTCAACTTCTAGTGGAAATGGGTATGGAGCAGGAAATGGTTCGGGCACATAGTCAGGATTAACGACTATGTCGAAAACTGGATCTGCTGAAGGAATTTTGATAGGAGGCGTAGCACCTTTATGCCGGCTGTTGTGTCTGCCTTTCTTATCAAGTATGATTATTTCTGGCGTAGGTCCAGCCGGTTTTTGCAAAAGAGCATAGGCAGGGTAATCATCCCAAATTGCTTTTCGAGTGTCGATTGGCGGAAATGTTGTTAGTGATTTTTGAAACGCTCTAACATAGTTGATTATCGAGAAATAATAAAGTATTTTTTTGTATTTTATCATTTACGCAGTAGATAAACCAATTATGCTTTTGTAACCTGATCAAATCTCGTTGTTTTATTGTTCTGTTTCAAAAAATAAACTTGGAGTTGTAATTTCAATGTGTTTTTTTTGTGGAAACACATGTTTCTGAGACAAATCAATCGAACTAATTTCGTTAAATGGTGTGATAACGTATTTGTTTTGTTGTTTTTGACATTCTTTTTGGTTATTTTGAACTAAAATATTTGAATTTGTGAAACTTACTTGCCCATTGATGAAAAATAATAGTTGCAGCCATCGCGACATTCAGCGAGGCTGTTGCGTTGCTAAACTGAGGTATGTATATAAACTCATCACATAATTTTTTTTGTTTGTCATTTAGTCCAAGTCCTTCGTTGCCTAGCATAAAACTAATTTTTTTCTTGCTACTAAAATCGTAGTCTAACACTGAAATCGACTCGTCCATGATTTCAATTCCCACCAAAGTGACGTCATTATTTTCAAAAAAAGTTTTTAAATCAATGAGACTATCCCAATAATGAAATCTCACTTGTTTTATAGTTCCCTATAATTTATTTTAATAGCTTACTTACTTGATTTCCAAATGTTTTTAATTTCTTGCTGCCAACAACAAAAATATCGTGGATGTTGTGGGCTGCAGCGCTACGTATTATGGTCCCCCAATTGCTACGCTTGCTTATGTTGTATAAAACTAAAGAAATAATCGGCAAATCCATTGAATCGTTTATATTAATTACTTATAAAATAACATTATTTAAAATTCAAATAAGAGGGCGTTAAACAGCTATAGAAACGAAATATATTAAATTTTTAACTGACCCATTAAACCAGAAAACATGTTTTCAAGCATGTTGCTGTTGTTATTTTCATTGAAATATAAAGAGCCTATTTGATTAAGAATAGTTTCAAGCTCGTTGTCAACAACATTTTGAAGCTTATATTTTGTTCGAACTAATTTCCAGTATTGCTGGTCAGAGTGTTTTACACAAGCTGTAATTAAAAATGTGGCTTGCAAGTAGACATTTGGAAATTTATCATCAAATGAGCTCGAGTACTTGTTGAGTATGTATTCTGCAAATCCAACATTCTTCGATGCTAAAATAATCAAAACCGTTTTGTGTATTATTAATGGCATTTCAGAAGGGTAACAAGCTTTCGACCATTTACATAACAACTCGTAAATCAATTCTGGATCGTCACAGAGGATCAAATGCATTAAAGCTGTACCATACTCTTTGTCCAGAATCAAATAACTTGCAATAGTTTTGTGTAACCCTATCTGTCCGTATTTTTGTTCTTTTTCACTCAGATTGGGCAAAGACTTCGACGAAAAGATTATCTCGTTGCAGAAAATGTATTTGCGAGCACATTTCACATTACTGCACTGATTCAAAATACTAATAAAAATTTCAATTATTTCTAGAGTTATGTCTGTGTTCAACAATTTAAGATACCCCAAAACCTTTTCACCTATTTCAATGGCGCAATCATGTTCTTTATAATCTATCATCAGTTGTGCGTATTGTTGTAGCGCTAACAATATTTTGTTTATATTTTTGGACTTATATTGCCGCTCCAATAGAGCCATGATTGACTGAAGAGCGTCATAAAAATTACTATCTTTAATGTTTGAAATTATGACTTTCTCAATTTGATTTGACATAACAATAACACAACGTATTTTGCAGTATTATAGATAATAGAAATGTAAATCTCTCTGGTTGATTAAACAAACAAAATATAAAAAATTAATATGATTAATATCATATTATCAGTTTTTAATGTATTATATTTTTAAAAATAATCAAATATATTAAAAAAGTCGGTTTGCTATATATCTTAAGATCTGTAGCAATCATATATGATATTGCTAGTTTAATTGTCAAAAATCACCATAATGGCCCAATTTAGATAACAAACTTATATTAAAAAAAGTAATTACTGTTAAATTTGACGAAGATGGATTAATCAGATTTTTATAAATTTCAAAATATTGCAAAAATTAATTACGATTTCTGGATTTATAGCAAAAAAGATTTTTTATGAGCTCGATTGTTAAAAATTGAACGATGATAGAATAAAAAGTTCTATATAAATAAAAAAACACTTATTACTTCATCCGTATACGAAACTTACATACTATTATCAAGTTCGAAAAGCTATAAAACTTATGTCTGAATTGTATACAGTTTGTGCAAAATGTCTCCGGGATATTGTCATTGAAGGTTGCGCTTTGAAATCGTCAGTTTATTCGAATATTCCCAGGGGGAAAAAAATAATGACAAAGAAAGTGATGAAAATAGTTTCGTCAATCATCGATAATTATGAGTTATTGGTTAGCACAATCGAAGATTGCGGCTTATTAAGGGATTTTCCTCGTTATAACCCTCAAAAAAAAATTAAACAACGCTACGAGAAAATTGCTTTTTTTGCGTGGTTATCGCTCGTAATAAGTTTTGACTATTTGTTTTCTAAAAATGGAATTGTGGGTGGTGGCAGATTGAAAAACACAGTTCTAAAATCTTTGAAAGTCAAATATCCTCGTCATGGTTTACTTGCAAATTTCCGAAAGTTTGAGCAATCAGCTACAAACAAGGATGAAATTCCGAAATATATTCGTTTTGATACTCATTATGTAAATAAAAATGACTTGATTCGTACTTTGAATCAAGAGTTCAATATTAATGCTGTTTCAGAAGATTTGTTTGATGACGTGCTACGCTTAGAAGGGTCCTTGTCTACAGCTTTTTTTGCTTGGTTAAAAAATCAACAAAATAAACTTTGTATTATGGACAAGGCCAGTTGTTTGTCAGCGAAACTTTTGCATCTCAATGTTGGTGACATAGTCATAGATTGTTGTGCAAGTCCTGGTTCAAAAACTCTTTCATTTTTAGCAAAGCTACATAATAACGGCTGCGTTATATCAATTGAAAAAGATCCTGGGAGATATCACACATTGGTTAATAGAATATCTGAATCGATCTATTTTGACACTATTTATACTCTAGACGAACATCAAGATGATGAAAAACTTATTTTAACTAAAGTGGACGGAACTGATAATAAAAAACCGATTTATTTGCTAAAAAATAAACAACATGGTTTAACGTCCATAATTGTTAACAACGATTTAACTTCACTTTTTTTCTGTAATACAGTCATTTTCAACTGTGTTTGTGAAAAAAAAAGTTTACTTTGTTTAAACCATCTGCTCTCTTATTATCCTAATTCGTTCAGCTCGGGCAATAAAATAGTTGGCTCATTAGACCCGTCATGCTCAGGCTTATTAAATCACAAAAATAGCAAAATCTCTAACGAAAGACTTAATAATTTGACTAAATTTCAAAAAATTTTGCTCAAACATATTTTGAATTGGAATGTTTTGGAATTAGTGACATATTCTAGCTGTTCTGTTTTTCAAGAAGAAAATATTGAAGTTATAATAGATGTACTGGAAAATAATACTCACTACAAATCTATGATGCCGCAAATAGAATGGCAAAACAGCAAATTACAGAGTCTAAAAATGCAAACAGACGAAAAATATTTAACGTTTCGAAATTATCTAAGTGCCAATTTTGAAACAAATAACTGTAGAGGCTTCTTTATTTGCTTATTACAGAAAATAGATAACGGTAATTAAGTTTTATTACTTCAGTTATTTACTTGCTAACGATTCTAAGCTGGTTAAAGAACTAGTTATTTTTTTCAAAATTTGGGGGGTCATATGTGATGCTAATGCTGCTGATTGATTTAGAGTCTGCTTAATTGTAGCGCAAATATTGATATCGTTAAACGGAGATTTACGTCTACATAATATTTCCACGTAACCTTCTTCGAAATATGAGTCGCTTTCATCATCTTGATCGGTTAAGTCATCATTCTCGTCCAAGTAATTTTGATTCATGGAATTGCTGTTTCTAAATTTATAACCAGCGTCTTCATTTTCATCAAAATCATTATCATCTGAAAACCTATAATCATAGTCGTAGTCAGCGTTTTCTATTTCTTTATTTTTGATATAGGTTGATAAAACTTTAACCAGGT